GACTGGAATTTTCTTTGTCTATCATCAGTCTCCCAGTAATACTGTTGAAAGGTCTGTAAAGTTTTCACAAAGTATAACAGACCAAAGAAAAAATGTTTCCTTCTTCTAAGAGCTTTCACTAACACTAAATGTAACATAAATGGAACATCTATTATATACCAGGTACTTTTGCATATATTATCTTATTTAATCCCATTATTAGTCACTTTTCAGAAGAAGAAATGACAACGCAGAGAGGTAAAACAATGTGTCAAAGGCTATACATGTAATTAGAAAAGGCAGGCTTTGATCCTACATGTGTTTGCTTATAAAGGCCAAGATTTTCCCACCTCCAGGCATGGCAAACTTAATGTGAGAAGTCATACAGCTAATACTACATGCTAAAAAGAAAATACAAATACTGCAAGCTAGACAGCCTCTGTCTCTGCCACTCAGCTCTGCCATTGTAGCACAAAAGAAAAAGGTAAACAAACGAAAATAGCCATTTCCAGTAAAACTGTATTTAAAACAATTAGGCGGAGGGCTAAATTTAACCCAAGATTCATAGGCTGCTGTGCTGCAACTCAATGCGCTCCTTCTTACACAGCCTCCAAGCTTCTCATTAATACCTCAAAATGTTTTCTCTCATCTTTTACAAAAGTATGACCTTCACCCTACTTAGCCATTTTAACACTTATCTCATTAGGATCAACCATTTGAAATAGGCTACTCAGGGAAATATGTACAATTCATAGTTATGGTTACATCTTCTAACTGTAATACCAATTATACCACAGACTAGTCTATACATAAGATGAACTTTTCTAAAACTATGGTATGTGTATGCACTACATTCTCATAGTGAAATTCTGTTAAATGCCTATATTTAAAGATCTACCTTTTGAACCTTTTTAGTTATCTGTATGTAATTCTGATTGCTCAAGTTATATTTAATAATATTAATAAGTTATATTTAATAATATTAATAAGCACAAAGCCCCCACTAATATATATAGCTAAGCAACAACAGCAAATATCCTCTTTCGATTATTCAAAATGATCACAAGCAGGCAAACATTTGGCCTAGCAGTTAAAACATCAGTTAAGATGCCTGTGTCCCAGGGGCAGTGCCTGGGTTGAATTTCCAGATCCAGTTCTTGATTCCAACTTCCTGACAATGTAGCTCCTGGGTGGCAGCAGGTGATAGCTCAGGTAGCTGGGTCTCTCAAGCAGTTGGTCTCCCTAAAGGAGACCGATATTGAGTTCCTGTCTCCCAACTTCAGACCGGCACAACCCTGGCTGGCACTGGGGAGGGAGCCAGTGGATGGGAGCAGTGTGTGCCTGCCTCTGTCTCTGTCTCTCTCTCTAATCTCTCGGGGGAAAAAAGATTATTTTATATAAGAAGATTGAAAATACACAGAACTTGGCCGGCGACGTGGCTCACTAGGCTGATCCTCCGCCTGTGGTGCCGGCACACCGGGTTCTGGTCCCAGTTGGGGTGCCGGATTCTGTCCTGGTTGCCCCTCTTCCAGGCCAGCTCTCTGCTGTGGCCAGGGAGTGCAGTGGAGGATGGCCCAAGTGTTTGGGCCCTGCACCCCATGGGAGACCAGAAGCACCTGGCTCCTGGCTTCGGATCAGCACAGTGCACCGGCTGCAGTGCGCCGGCCGTGGCGGCCATGAACCAGCGGCAGGGGGGGACTTTCTCTCTCTCTCTCTCTCTCTCTGTCCACTCTGCCCGTCAAAACAAACAAACAAAAAGAAAATACACAGAACTTAAAGACTCTCTCACTCTTTCCCTCATTTCAAAATTTAAATGTGTTACCACCATTGAACATTGTATTTTCTTCATACAAAAGATTTAAACAGTATAACCTGGTATAAATAGTAAAGAAACATTCCCCTTCTCTATCAAGGGTTTTATACTTTCTTCCTTCTCTCCCTCCCTACCTTGCATCCCAATATGCTGTCTCTTGGTCTCGGTCTCTCTCTCTCTCTCTCTCTCTCTCTCACACACACACACACACACATACAGTATCTAAAACAAAAACAAATTCAACTCCAAATAAAATGGAAAGACTAATAGGCAAAAACACACAAGATCAGTTCAATCCCAGCTCTCCAACTAGAACAAGCCGAATAGTCACTTCCTGCCTTTGTGTCTTTTAACTGCTACTACATTCTATTTCCTCATCTATAGAAATGGGGGGAAATCATATCCACTTCACATGATTGCTGTGAGAATTAAAATGAGATACTCAGAGAATAGTGTTGACACAGTCAAAGAATAAAAATATCCTAGTTTCTGCTACCATCACCACCACCCCCATTCCAATGTGGCCAGGTCTCAAGATTTCCTGTAGTTCCTCCACAAAATGGGGAAAGCAATGCTGCCTCAGATGTTATCTATACATATGAGGGTACAAAAGCACTTAAAAAAGTTTGTGGAAAATTTGAAATGTAAGTTTTAGTGCAAAAAGAATGGAATTCAAGCATAACTTCATAATATTCATTTTTCATGAACTTTTGAAAGATTCTTATATACATGAATCTCAAACTCCATTACAAAAAAATAAGCATTATTTTCAAAAACAATTTTTTGAGAGGCAGAGAGTGAGCCAGAAACAGCTCCCATCTGCTGATTGACTCTCCAGCTGCCTGCAATGGTCAGTGAGCTGAAGCCAGGAACCAGGACTCAATCCAGGTCTCCCATGTGCGTGACAGGAACCCAAGACTATGAAGCCATCCCCACTGCTTCCCAGGGTCTGCATTAGTAAGAAGCTGGAATCAGAAGCCAGAGCCAGATCCTGAACCCAGGTACTCTGATATAGGATGTGGGCATCTTGACCAAAGTCTTAACTGTGAGGCCAAATACCTGCAGCCCAAACTCTTTTTTTTGAAAGGCAGAGAAAGAGAGAGAGAGAGAAACTTTCAATTTAATTACATTTTCCACAAACTTTTTAAAGTACTCTTATATAACTTTTTTTTTCTTTTTTTTTTTTTAAACTTTTATTTAATGCATATAAATTTCCAAAGTACGACTTATGGATTACAATGGCTTCCCCCCCATACCGTCCCTCCCACCCACAACCCTCCCCTTTCCCACTCCCTCTCCCCTTCCATTCACATCAAGATTCATTTTCGATTATCTTAATATACAGAAGATCAGCTTAGTATACATTAAGTATGGATTTCAACAGTTTGCTCCCACACAGAAACATAAAGTGAAAAATAATAGATGATTTTTTTAAATGATGATGAAATCAGATCAGACCTATTGTCATGTTTAATCCCAGTGAGAGTCAAGTTGGGAATTGATAATTTCTTTTTTTTTTTTTTACAGAGGATCAGTTTAGTATGCATTAAGTAAGGATTTCAACAGTTTGCACCCCCATAGAAACACAAAGTGAAACACACTGTATGAGTACTCGTTATAGCATTAAATCTCAATGCACAGCACATTAAGGATAGAGATCCTACATGAGGAGTAAGTGCACAGTGACTCCTTTTGTTGACTTTACCAATTGACACTCCTGTCTATGGCATCAGTAATCTCCCTATGCTCCAGTCATGAGTTTCCAAGGCTATGGAAGCCCTCTGAGTTCTCCGACTCTTATCTTGTTTAGACAAGGTCATAGTCAAAGTGGAGGTTCTCTCCTCCCTTCAGAGAAAGGTACCTCCTTCTTTGATGACCTGTTCTTTCCACTGGGATCTCACTATCTGTTCTACTTAATATGACTGGTTTAGATCTGTAATTGATGCACAGTTATTCTTAAGTGTTCAAAATTAACTGAAATGTGATCCCTGTTGAACATGATGGTGGGAATGGGAGAGGGAAGAGATGTATAATTTGGGACATGCTCAGGCTGACTTGCCCCAAGTGGTGGAGTTGGAAGCATACCAGGGGATTCCAATTCAATCCCATCGAGGTGGCATGTACCAATGCCATCTCACTGTTCCAGGTGATCAGTTTCAGTTCACAGTTGGTCATGGTGAAGGGACTGGGAGTCAAAGGGAGCACATAGACAAGTCTAGTACCTGCTAACGCTAACTGCTGGAGTAAATAAAGGGGAGAGTGATCCAACATGGGAAGTGAGATACTCAGCAGACTCGTAGAATGGCAGATGTCCTAAATAGCACTCTGGCCTCAGAATCAGCCCTAAAGGCATTCGGAGCTGGCTGAAAAGCTCATGAGAGTATTTCAGGCATGGAAAGCCAAGACACTCTGGCAAAAGATCTTATATAACTTTTTAAAGCACCCTGCAGCCAGTGCCGCAGCTCAACAGGCTAATCCTCCGCCTTGCGGCGCCGGCACACAGGGTTCTAGTCCTGGTCAGAGCGCCGGATTCTGTCCCAGTTGCCCCTCTTCCAGGCCAGCTCTCTGCTATGGCCCAGGAGTGCAATGGAGGATTGCCCAAGTGCCTGGGCCCTGAATCCACATGGGAGACCAGGAGAAGCACCTGGCTCCTGGCTTCGGATCAGCGCGATGCGCCAGCCGCAGCGCGCTGGCTGCAGCAGCCATTGGAGGGTGAACCTACGGCAAAAGGAAGACCTTTCTCTCTGTCTCTCTCTCTCACTGTGCACTCTGCCTGTCAAATAAATAAATAAAAGCACCCTGCAAAACCATCTTATCATTATTAATAAAAAGGTCCTTTTTCTCAGGATCTTAACAGTTCCTTTGAGAACATTTAAAAAGCAAACCAATTCTATGCTTTTAATGCTGAAAATAAGAAGTTACTATTTCCCATTGTTTTATTCTAGATATTTTTATTAAAACACAAGTGTTGAAAGATCTTTTCTAAAAAGAGACACACAATATTAACAAATAATCACAAATGGATTTGGTTACAAGGCCATGTCAGGATAGGATCCACCTTCTTAATTCCAATTCATTCTAACACTTAGCATTTGAGAGTTCATTTTCAGCTCTTTGTTGTTTTTAACATTCTGCACTTAAACAAAGCACATGTTAATAACCGCATACTATGACTGTTCTAACATTAGTGAATACAAACATTTCTTACCAAATTACGCTTTTTGAGTGGAAGAAAATAGTAGTAGTGGCAGAAAGAAAACATCAGTGCGTAGCAAGTGAGAAGCTCAGTGTAGAAACACAACTGCAGAAAAAGCCAATGGTTATCTTCACCAACACAATTGTTAATCCTGAAGAAAAGAATGAAAACGAAAGAATATTTTAAACTTAATAAGATGCTCATTTCAGGATGTGTGAGATTAAAAATAAATATAACTTCATAACAAATACAAATAACTTTCAGGGATATATGCTAGAATCACTCAAACCTAAAAGCAGACTGTACAAAGAAAAGATAAAAATATGCCATCTTGGATTTGTAAAGCACTTTCTACTTTAAAAAGGAAATCCATGGATACGACCCCTTCAACTCACAATAACCGTGAGAAGCAGGGAGAGCAGATGGTAGCCTCCTTGTTTCACCGATAAGGAAATGGAAACAAAGCAGGTAAGACACTTGCCAAGGGATGTACCGTGAGGAGAGACGGAGCTTGAAAGAGCAAGAACACTCTTCTGTACATTGCTCTTCTGTTACAACCTTCTAACTGTAGGCAGCCATTTGAATGCTTCGAAATAAAATAGTTTAAGTTTGCTACTCTGACATAACTGCTAAGCATTGACAATTTTTCTTCTTTTTAAAAATCTACAGGGGCCGGTGCTGTGGGGCAGAGTTAAGCCACTGCCTGCAGTGTTGGCATCCCATAAGGGCACCAGTTTGTATCCTGGCTGCTCCAATTTCTATCCAGCTTCCCGCTAATGCACGTAGGAAAGCTGCAAAGGATGGCTCCAGTCTGTTGGACCCTGTACCCATGTGGGATACCCAAAAGAAGCTCCTGGCTCCTGACTTCTGCCTGGCCCAGCCCCAGCCATTGCAGCCATTGAAGGAGTGAACCAGAAAATGGAAGATCTCTGTATTTCTCCTTGTCTCTTTCTGTAACTCTGCTTCCCAAATAAATAAAGTAAATCTTTTTAAAAACCTACAAATTGCCTTGCACAAATATTTTCATTTAAATATAGCATTACACTGTCACTCAAAAATTAACTGAAAACAGTTTCAGTTCCTAATTGAAATGTAGTTAACGTGTGTCACTACCTACTCTTAAAATCAAATAAAGAAGTGAACTAAAAAACCTTGCTTAAGTATTTCTTAGTATGCTTTGTAAACAAGAAAATTTGTTTTTTTGTTTTGTTTTGCTATTCGTAAGTAGGGTTGCAAGAAGGGTGTTTATGTATGCATTTCAGATGCACTTTAACAACATTTGCTTTAAAAAAGGATGATGTACCCTTCTCATTCCCAAGGAATTTGAAAACAACTACTGTGATCACAGCATATTTCTTAGCAGGAGAGTGACAAAGAGCACTAAGGTACTCAATCCATATGTAAGTGTTCTTTTTGTAACTCTGAAACTACTCAGAAAGAAATGAACAGAGTCAGAAACACAGAAGAGATGGAGGCAATTTGACAGCCGACCTCCAAATCTAAAGCTATTACGCAGTTGAGATAATGCAGCCTCTGAAGACACCAAAAATTCTGTTTGCTTCCGATTTCCACTGTACATTTCCCTCACTCAACACCTCAGCAGAGCTCTGTTAGGAAAAGTAATCATGATAAGACTCTTAGGCCCCTGGTCTACTCTCTTTTCTGATCCTCCGATCTTTTCTACTTCCCCCTCCTTCTGGCCAATATTGTGAGGTTGACTAAAACTGCAGAACCAGGGGCTTGGAAACAAAGAAATCATCCCAAAATTAGGATTGAGGTTTAACTGCAGTTTAATGGTCACAAAGAAGCTAGTCTTTATCCTTCACAAATATCTTTAGTTTCCACTACATCTCCTAGTTGGTTTCCTCACCTATTGCATTTTCTAAAATAATTATTTATTTATTTGAAAGTCAGAATTACACAGAGAGGAAGAGAGGCAGAAAGAGACGGAGAGAGGTCTTCCATCTACTGGTTTACTCCCCATTTGGTTGCAACAGCTGGAGCTGTGCTGATCCGAAGCCAGGAGCCTCTTCTGGGTATCCCACATGGGTGCAGGGGCCCAAGGACTTGAGCCATCTTGTACTGCTTTCCCAGGCCATAGCAGAAAGCTGGATCGGAAGTGGAGCGGCTGGGACTCGAAGTGGCGCCCATACAGGATGCCGGTGCTGCAGATGGCGGCTTTACCTGCTACACCACAGGGCCGGCCCCTATTGCATTTTTTTGAAAGGAAGCATCAATATCCAACTGTACCATGAACAATTACTGCATTTTTAATTAACCAGAAACACTACTATGAAAAATACCAAAAATTCAGCTTTTGGTGTGATTAGCATTTATCTTAAAACATGTCTCACCTAGTTTTTTGTAGTCTATTACTACTGTAATTACAAATATCATTGAGGTCCGGAAAATTACTTGGAGATTAATGTTTAAATTCAGAGCATACTTTTTGAAATCCACCTACATGTCATATACTAAATACTTTATTGATGGACTTAGACAATTTTTAAAATTTTTATACAGTAACAAAGTACTTTTATCTATAATATTCTCATTTTTTTCTAATCTCAGTAAATTGCATTATAGTTAAGCAAACTGTGCAGGCAAATGAGTTACTCTAACTTGATTACCATTATTAGGTAAATTCTACTCGAGACAACTTTAGATAAATGCAATTCAAGAAGCTTGTTATGTAGTTAAACTTTGTATACATGCACACATGTGTGTACAAACATAAATATATATGTATATAGATATATTTAGAGTGCTACACTATACCAGTTTAAATATTTATACAGAGATCCCATGCTAGGAAAACAAAATTAAATACAATGTCTTGTTCACAGATTTTTGTGACAGCTTTGAAATGAGATACAATACAGAATTCTCACAGCATTTGTTTTCAAAATTTTTTTCAACTGAACATTTTCTTTAAATATTACAAGAGAGCCCCCTATTGACCAAAGCTGTTGGTAGTTCAGCAGAATCAGTTAACTACCACTTGCACACATTCAACATGCAAGCACTGTTACTACCTATCTCCAGTACGTAACAGGTAAAACATCTTCACTGATGGGGGAATTATCAGGGCATCTGAAATGGGCCACTCTTTAATTACACAAATGGAAGTGGAAATAAAACAGTGGGAAATATACAGCTTATTATATTAGAAATGACAGCTTCTATTTAAATGCTTTCTATGTGTCAAATACTAAAGCAAAGGCTTCCCATACATTTTCCTCATCGAAAACAAGTACCTTGGTCCAGCTGAATATCTGGGTGCAGGTAAATTCTTAGTCTTCTGCTAAAACATCTCCTTAGACTGTTCATTGTGGTGACAAAGATAGGATCTCTGTGGAAAACTGACTTTGGAGTTGACAGAACTACATGATCAAATATTAAAATGTTTTTACAAACCATGTAGCTTTAATATAACTTTTGCTCAAGACTGCTAAGTCTTAAGAGGATTTTTTACTAGGCTTCTTTTCTTTCTTAGCTAGAAGTGAAGGATTCCTTTCTTACCACGGACAGTGATGATCCATTCTCCTTACACAGTGGCCGCAGCGGCTGCAGTGATGGGAACGCTTTGGTCTCATCAAATTACACTTGTTACATAATTCCCACAACTCTCTTTCTAAAGAAAGAAATCAAAATCCATTTAATGAAGGCAAATGAGTAGTGTTGAAATTTTGTAAAAACAGTTTACAAGATTTTATAAGAAGTCTTCAATATATATCTCAAGAGATTTTTTTCTTCTTCTAAGCCTCCAGTGTTGCTGTTCTATTTTACTTATTTTGTGTATTTCTAATTTTAAACACTATAAAAGTAAGAGACTATCGTTATTCTCAAAGTAACGGACAGCAAACAACGTATTTGGCTCTGGACACTCCTAGAATATAAGTAAAAATCCAATGACAGAACCATAAAGTCTAACCAAATTATTACAGTAAAACGGGATTTTATTTAAACAATTTATCGAAATTGTATTACCTAAAGGATCCACAGACACAAGCTTAATCCTGTTTCAGTTAATCCTATAAACACATTGGGAAAATAGAGACGTCATTCCTCCCCTTGCTTTCCCCAAATCATTTTATGTTTTTTTTTTTTTTTCAGAGTCAATTAGTTTACCTGGGGATATGTATAGAAGTAGGTTCAAGAAGGATGTCAGATGGGTTTAGGAAGTATCGGGATAGTTTAATTAGTGAATGGGGTTAGTAAAGAAATTCTTGGGACAGTGTTATGGCACAGCAGATTAAGCCATTGACTGTGACACTGGCATCCCATATAAATGTCGGTTTGAGTCCCAGCTGCTCCACTGTTGACCCAGCTTCCTGTTAATGCCCCTGGGAAGGAAGACGGCCCACATACTTGGACCCTTGCCACCCACATCAGAGACCCAGATAGAGTTCTGGGCTCTTGGTTTCAGCCTGGCTCAGCCTCTGCCATTGTGGCCATGGGGAATGAACCAGAGGACGGAAGATCTTTATCTCTCCCTCTCCCTCTCTGTAAGTCTGCCTTTCAAAGATATACATAAATATAAATCTCAAAATAAAAAAAAAAGAAAAATGCATTCAATACAAAACTCTGTCCTACCACCAGGTAACAAACTCCTTTAGCTAGCTGGTGGTAGAAACAGCACACAAGTTCTATGCTACAAACATAAATTTCAGGGGTTGATGCTAGGGCATAGCAGGTTAAGCCTACAATGGGGCATCACATATGGGCACCAGTTCCAGTCCCGGTAGCTCCACTTCTGATCCAGCTCCCTGATAATGTGCCGGGGAAAGCAGCAGAGAATGGCCCGAGTCCTTGGCAACTGTAACAATGTGGGAGACTTGAACGAAGCTCTTGGCTCCCAGCTTCAGCCTGACCCGGCCCAGCCCTGTGGTCATTTGGGGAGTGAACCAGTGGATGGAAGACTTCTCTGCCTCTACCTCTCCCTCTCTGCAACTCCGCCTTTCAAATAAATAATTTTTTTAAAAAATAACAAAGTATACATAAGTAAAAAGGCATCTGGTTTCATTACAAGTTATTCTTTTTTTTAAAGATTTATTTTATTTATTTGAAAGACAGAATTACAGAGAGAGGTAGAGACAGAGAGAGAGGTCTTCCATCCGCTGGTTCACTCCCCAATTGGCTGCAATGGCCGGAGCTGTGCTGATCCAAAACCAGGAGTCAAGAGCTTCCTCCAGGTCTCCTACGTGGGTGCAAGGGCCCAAAGACTTGGGCCATCTTCTATTGCCTTCCCAGGCCACAGCAGAGAGCGTGATCGGAAGCGGAGCATCCGGGACTCAAACCAGCGTCCATATGGGATGCCAGCGCTTCAGGCCAGGGCTTTAACCTGCTGCGCCACAGCATCAGCCCCTATAAATTGTTCTAATCAGGTTCATAAAAAGTTCTGGAAAAGAAAACTGTCTTCAAAGACAATTGCTGGGGCCAGCGCTGTGGTGCAGTGGGTTAACGCCCTGGCCTGAAGCACCAGCATCTCATATGGGTCCCTGTTCAAGATCCAGCTGCTCCATTTCTGATCCAGTTCTCTGTTATAGCCGGGGAAAGCAGTAGAAGAGGGCATCTCACTAGTCCAAGTGATCAATTCAGTTCACAGTTGATCATACTGATAGGTCTAAGAGTTAAAGGGATCACACAAACAAGACTAGTGTCTGCTAAAACTAACTGATAGAGTTAAAAAGGAGAGAACGATCCAGCATGGGAAGCGAGATACACAGCAGATTCATAGAATGGCAGATGTCCTAAACAGCACTCTGGCCTCAGAATCAGCCCTTAAGGCGTTCAGATCTGGCTGAAGAGCCCATGAGAGTATTTTAGGCATGGAAAGCCAAGACACTGTGGCAAAAAACAAAACAAAACAAAACAAAAACCACAAAACTAAATGAAAGATCTCTGTGAGTGAGATCCCAGTAGAAAGAAAGGGCCATCAAAGAAGGAGGTGCCTTTGTCTGAAGGGAGGAGAGAACTTCCACTTTGACTATGGCCTTGTCTAAATAAGATCAGAGTCGGCAAACTCAAAAGGCTTCCATAGCCTTGGCAACTCATGACTAGAGCCCAGGGAGATTACTGACGCCATAAATAAGAGTGTCAAATTGTTAAGTCAACAGCAGGAGTCACTGTGTACTTACTCCTCATGTAGGATCTCTGTCCTTAATGTGTTGTCCAATGTGAATGAATGCTATAACTAGTATTCAAACAGTACTTTACACTTTGTGTTTCTGTGTGGGTGCATACTGTTGAAATCTTTACTTAATATATACTAAACCAATATCCTGTATATAAAGATAATTGAAAATGAAAAAAAGAACAAAGAAGAAATCACTATTGCAAAAATCTAGGAACTTAAATTATCAACTAGAATGTGTTTTTCCTTTTTTAATGAGGAAAAAAAACTATTTATCTTAGCCTACTATACACATTTATAGTCTTTTCCCTCTTGTTCTTCATGCTTTACTCACATCCAAACAAGATCTTGGTGACGTATGCTTTATGATGTGTGATGACTACTGCTTATAAGACTTTTGCACTAGACATGTAACAATATAAAGAGAAAGCATACAGGAGAGAGAATTCAACTGATAATTTATGGTAGTTAAGAAAAATGGAAAGCAAACACAAAAAAATCTTCTAGAGGAGAGAAAAGTTAAACATAAAACAAAGAAAAAAAAGGCAAACTCCATACATTATTAAGGCTATGTGGTCAAACAGTATTACGTTGTTTAACCTGTGTCTTTATTAGCTGTTAATGGCTGAATGAATATAAAATAATCTTTAGCTGGGTACTGTTATCACTCAGAAAAGAAGAAATCACAGGGTGGGCAATTACCTAGCAACTAAAGCCATGAGCTAGGAAGCCAGCATCCTATATCAAAGTGTCTGGTTCAATTCCTGGCTCTGCTCCTGATTCCAGTTTTCTGCTAATGTGGACCCTGGGAAGCAGCAGTGATGACTCCAGTATTTGGATCTTTGCCACCCATACGGGCAATCTGGGGTGAGTTCCTGGCTCTGAGTTCATGTCTCCAGTATAGGACTACTGCAGGCATTTGAGGAATGAACTGGGAAAGGGGAGCAAGGGAGTGCTTGCATGTCTCTCTCTCTCTCTCTGTCTCTCTCTGTCTCTCTCTCTCTCCCTCCCTTTCAAATAAAAAGTACATGTAAATAAATTATTAGTGGCTCCAGTGATGATAAAAGCCCTGAAGTCAAACATGCAAGAGCTTAATATTGAAAATGTTCTACAACTGACTGGCTATAGTTGTACAACCCCATGGATATACTAAAAGCCACTGGATTGTACAATTTAATTGAATGAATTATATGATATGTAAATTACATATATCATTTCATAAAATGTGAAAGTGATACTAGGGTGTTATTTTATATGTATTATTCCTAACATACATGTGAATCATTCAAATAAAATAAATAGACATATAACAATTTCATTTGACTATTTGATCCAAATGCCCAAAAGTTTACAAAATCAAGTTTGAAGATTTCCTGATGGGAAAATTGAGCATTTTCTTATATTCAAATTGTCTCATATTAACGGACCACTAAACTATAAAATCAATAAACTCTAGTTATCCTGCTAAAAAAAGACAAAAAAATATTTTGAAGTAATTTACTTTTTTAAAAAATTTATCTGACAGGTAGAGTTATAGACAGTGAGAGAGAGAGAGACAGAGAGAAAAGTTCTTCCTTCCGTTGGTTCACCCCCCAAATGGCTGCTATGGCCGGCGCTGCACCAAACCAAAGCCAGGAGCCAGGTGCTTCATCCTGGTCTCCCATGCGGGTGTAGGCACCCAAGCACTTGGGCCATCCTCTACTGCCCTCCCGGGCCACATCAGAGAGCTGGACTGGAAGAGGAGCAACCGGGACTAGAACCCGGTGCCCATATGGGATGCTGGTGCCGCAGGTGGAGGATTAACCAAGTGAGCCATGGCACCGGCCCGAAGTAATTTACTTTAAAAATGGTTAGGATCATAAAAGTACCAGGGTTTTAAGTATCCTTTTCTGAAATTTCAATGATATGAAACTGTTCAACCTTAAAACATTCTGGGATTCTTTGTAATTTTTTAGCTAAATTAAGAATAATCAGGTAAATAGCACCAAAAAATATACAATGAATTTAATTCTCCCCAAAGATGAATAAAGGGCTAAAATTATTCATCTGTACAAAGATTTATGGTAAAAACAAGACAGGGTCTCATGCCAGCTCCAGAACAACCAGCTCCGTACCACAGGAAGCCCAATCCACACTCCTGGCTGACTGGCCTACCCCCTTATACAAGTAACAGGAGATGTGGAAATGTTAGAATACAATACATGGGCTCTTTTTTCAACTGAGCAAAAGGGAAGATGCTTGAACTAAAAATCATGAAATTCATCACAAAAATTGGATTTTCCCTTTTTTTTTCTTCAAAAATTTTAAGATCTGTTATTCAAAGTGCATGACAATTTCTCTGTGGTTGAGTAGAGGCTACTGAATTATTTAGGCTCGTTTTGAGACTTTCAACAGGAAATAGCTCCTGTCTGGCCGCTTTCACTGATTGCCAGTGCCTGGCATCTGAAGGCATGTAAGTATGATGACCCAGAAACGGGTCTTAAGTTACAAAAACCTGCTTCTCTGAGTGTTTGGAGCCACTAGATTTTAGAGTTGAAGTATGTAACACATGTACACAGTATTTTAGGAACCTTTGGTTAAGCCCGCTGGGAAGAAGGATTCTAAACAGAATGCAGGATGCCAACCTTCCAGTCCCCACACTGAGACAGACAGACACAGACAGACACACACACACACACACACACACACAGCTAAATGACAGTGCTACTGTCTCCACAAGTTATTAAATCTATTCACCTAAGTGTTCAGGAACTTCTATACTTATGTAAACAATAGTGACATATTTCCATTTAATCTCTAAATTTGTAAGGGGAAGCAAGCTCCTAAATGGTGGGTCTCTAAAAGTAGCAATCAGGCCCTGAGGGAGGCTCTGAAAGCAACTTGCCACTTAATCTAACTTCATAAGGATTTCTGAGTCTGTTCCCAAAGTCCGCTGCACACTGCAATCACCAGAGATCTTTCAAAAGTACCTGGCTACTACCCTCAGATATTCTGATTTTATTAATATGCGGTGTGATCTGGACACTTATATTTTTAAGCACTCCCCCGATGATTCTAATGTGCAACAATTTTGGAAGCCACTAAATTACAATAAAAAGTATTCTTGTTTTATGATGTACTACAGGGACATATAAATTTCTATATTAGAAGAAAGTACAGAGAGTTCAGCTTATACAAACAGCAAATAATCCTAAACTGAGAATCAGCTGCAGGTTTTGGCCTAGTGGATAAGATGTTCAAGATTCCTCATTTCTGCTCATGTAGACCCCAGGAGGCAACAGTGATGGATCAAGTGGTCAGATTCCTGTCATTCACATGGAAGACCAGGACTGATTCCTGGCTCCAAATGACGACATTCTGGGAGTAAACCAACAGACGGGAGTTCTCCATTTGTCTGTCTGTCTCTTTCTGTCTCTCAAACAGGTGATCATTTTTTGAGATTCAGGCAGAAAAAAGAACAAAGAAGGTTATACTATATCCGGTAAGTAATAAAATGAGGAATACATTTTCAATTCATTTTTGTGGTTTGAATGGTTATGCAATAGGGTGATCAAAAGCCACTTTCAATTAACACTGGAACAAAAAAATTTTCAAATTTTTCATTGAATTATTTGAACTCAGGGAAATAGACAGTAAGTGTCCATAACTGCACAAATATTTACTTCAAATTTTATTATATTCACAATATCATGAGGTAAGTGGCACCATCAAGAATTCCATTATTGGGCCGGCGCCGTGGCTCAATAGGCTAATCCTCCACCTTGCGGCGCCGGCACACCGGGTTCTAGTCCCGGTCGGGGCGCCGGATTCTGTCCCGGTTGCCCCTCTTCCAGGCCAGCTCTCTGCTATGGCCAGGGAGTGCAGTGGAGGATGGCCCAGGTGCTTGGGCCCTGCACCCCATGGGAGACCAGGAAAAGCACCTGGATGCTGGCTCCTGCCATCGGATCAGCGCAGTGCGCCGGCTGCAGCGGCAGCCATTGGAGGGTGAACCAACGGCAAAGGAAGACCTTTCTCTCTGTCTCTCTCTCACTGTCCACTCTGCCTGTCCAAAAAAAAAAAAAAAAAAAGAATTCCATTATTAAGTAAAAACATAATTTCTCAGATACTTATGTATCATTCAACAAATATTTACAGAGAATCTAAGTGACAGAGACTTTTCTGGACATCAGAATACACCACTGAGCAAATGAAGGGAAAGTGACAAAAAATCTACACCCTCACAGAACTTACGTAAGTCTAAAATGGGAAGAAGGAGACAAATAACTGAAAAGAAGGACAGGGATGGAATTGGTTGCAACTTTAAATAGAGAAGTCTAGTAAGGAAACATGAGAGCAAGACTTGAAAGTGGTGTTAAATGACATAGATGAATGTAACCCATATATACTAGAGGCAACAAAATACATGAATAAATAATTCTGGCACCATCAAAACTGCTAAACCCAAAGAGTACCATACCTCCATGTGGGATCTTGGGGTTCTCCGGCAGTCTTCCTGGGTCAGTTATTGAGGCCCTCACTAAGGCAACCAGACAAAATATGGCAATGCCATAGAATACTTTAAAACAAATAAATCAATTAGTCATTTACTATATGAAACATTTTACCAAAAAGCATATTTTTAATGTGTATTTTAATAAATACCATCAGAACAAATAATATTCAAAAGATGGGAAATGAAATGGCTAATTCACTTCACTCATTAAAGAAACTGCCAAGAGGACTATTTTCAATGTACTAAACTTAAAGTACTATTTTGCAATGACTGATAAGTTTATAAGAAACCAGATTCATTATTAAGAGTGATTTCTTATCACTGATGATATAAACAGACTACCTTTAATTACCATGTGTAGTATATCTGAAAGGATCAAAACACCATTAAAAAGTTGTACAATTAGGGGAGGGCATTCTATGGAGCTTGAGACACATAACACAGTGCCAGTTCAAGTCCCAGCTATTCTGCTACCAGGTCAGCTGCAAAGGTAGAGGATGATGGCCAAAGTACTTGGCTTCCTCACACTTCCATGGGAGACTAGGATGGAGTTCCAGAGACCTGGCTTTGATCTGGCCCCACCTCAGCTGTTGTGGACATTTGGAGAGTGAATTAAAAGACAGAAGCTCGCTCTCACTCACTAGCTCGCTCACTGTGTGTGTGCGTCTCCCCCTGTTATTCTGTTACTCCCTTTTCAAAGAAATAAAACTCTAAAGTAAAATTAAACATTTTCATTATTCTGTCTTCAAAGTTACTCTGAATTAATGATGTTCAACTACCCCTTTTTGTTAAAATACTTAATTTGAGAATAAAGAATTAGAAACTTCTGAATTTTCAAATTAACAACCAGAAAAAGTAGACTCAATCATCATAATTCTATGTTTTAAATTAGTAAGACATAGGCATTTTGTTGGTAGAATAAAAACAACACATTCAAAAATAAAAGGAAAGCATTTGAGTGCTCACTCCAGGACTGACTGCATAGTATTGATCGTTTTCATCATTTGTATAACAAAGGTGTTTCCCATTGCTCCGGAGAAGTCAAAGGAAGACAAGGTACACAAAAACTGTAAATGCTATGTACATGTAAATTTATCTTTTTGTACTCTTAATCATAATAAGCAAGCCATTGTCAATAAACTACAGTAAGTAATAACTGAATCCTGAAGTTCAAGGTGCTCTCATAATCAAGTTCATACTCAATAATTTTAGTATTGGGATTCTCATTTCCCAATAACATGACCACCATTATTCCTAAAACTTTCATGCTTGCAGTTAAGTACACAACAGAAAAATTTAAAATACATGTAAGGTGTCACTGTCAGTTTTTTTAACAAAATGATCTTTATATATTTTGGAGTTAGATAAATGCGGAAATAGCTTTTTATCTATCACTGCAAACATTGAGGCCTTTTTATTTTCTATAATATAGTAAATAACAATAGTACTGGTAAGATACTAAATACACTAAAAGGAAGGTAATCAGAGTAACAGTATTCTCCAAAAACATTTACAATTAGAAAAATGCTTAATGATACAAGGAAATGAAGATTTAGAAACTTACTTATTATTAATATGCCTGGAATATGTCCTTCTTCATAGTGAGGAAACAGGACAATTTTGGGAATTATAACAATATTGTATAACCAAACAAAAACAATCAAACCCATGCAGCACCAACCATGTGGGTCAACAACAAAGTGAATCCGAAGACCCATTTTACAGTCCTATAATTGCCTGCCAACCCACAAGGGAAGATGATCCTAAGAAGAAGGAAACAAAAAAAAATTAGTAACACAGGAAAAATTACGTGATTCAAACAAACAGCATTTCTGGAAATTATAAAATGACAGGTATTGAATTTTCTTTGAATATATATATGCATATATATTTCAAAATAAACACTATAGAAAATAGAAATTTCAAGATAACCAAATCTTACCAAAGACTTCAAATAATTTAACTATGATTTTTCATTATAAATTTCTATCAAGGGTATAATTGAAATTGGCATTAAAGTTAAAACATAAGTTGGTCATTAATTCAGCAATTACATATGTAAGCCCATAAGAAATGACTGTACATGTCCAGCAAAAGGTAATATACAAAAATTTTTAGTTAACAGTAAACACAAGTAAAAATTTGTGGCCAGTCTGCAGTGGGAGAGCTGTGCACTAACTGGTAAAGGACATAAGAGAACCTCAGAGGTCTAAAACTGGTTTCTATCATTCTTCACCTGGTTAGTACTTCAAAGCTGTATTCATAGACACATGTAAACAGAACTGTACCCTTAAGATCTGTGCAGCTTAATTTTAAAACACAAAACATTTTTCAGTCATCTTGAAAAATTTTAATAAAAGTGAAAAGTAATTACAAATTGCTAAAAATATTAAATTCTTGGAATGAAGCCCAACTAATCTCATTGCTATCAATTTAGGATGGCTCCTGTTTAAAAGAAAACTTTTTTCAGCTGAGCATCAAAAATCTGGGGCAGGCCTTTGGCACAGCAGGTTGAATCACTGCTTAGGATGCCCACATCCCATAATTGGTGCCTGGTTTTGTCTTGGGTCCTCTGCTTCCAACACAGCTTTCTGCTAGTAGACAGCCTGGAAAGCACCTGACAACGACTCAAGTACTTAGGTCCCTGCCATCCTCACATAAACCCTGATGGAGTTCTGGAACCCTGCTTCAGCCAGGCTCCAGTGTGACTGTTGTGGGCATTTGGGGTGACCCAGCAGATGGAAGATCCTTGTGTCTCTCTCAGCCTCTCCCTCCTGTCTCTCTGCCTTTCAAATTAAAAAAAAAATAAAATAAATAAAAATTAAAAATCTGCCCAAGGAACTCCAAAGGAGATACTTCTATATGTATCTATACATACAATATCTAAAAGTGACTTACAACAAATCCATATTTTAGTAGACTTAACATATTGAGCTTAAACAATAAATTACCAGATAAAGTGCTAAAGGCACTTTTTACATAAAATATAATAGTAATATATACTAATAAACAAGGAAAAAGCTCTCAAATTGCAAGCAAATTAGAATTAAACTACAGAGCTTTTTAAAAATGTTTCCAGACTTCACTGAATCATAATTCTTCACATAATTAAAAAATCAATAAAATGTTTTAAAATGCTCTCCAAGTACTGACACAACTAACTGGTATCTAGAAAGAACTATGCCACAGAACTTTGGTTAAGATGTCAATGCAACAGCAATGAACTAACAAACTTGTTTAGGTCAACAAATATTCACTAAGTCTCTACTGTACATTAGTCACTTGCTAGACACCACAGATACAATATAATGCGACATGGCCTGTACTAACAGTCTAGTGGAAAAACTCCTAAAAAGGGTTTTCCAGCACATGATAAACTCCATACCTGTGGACAAGACGTTAGTAGGAGCAAAGATGGGAACTAGTATATCACCTCCTGCCAAGGGTGAAACCTGAGTTCAGTCTTAAAAAGACAAGGGGCTAGCACTGTTGTGTAGCAGTTAAAGCCGCCTGGGACACTGACATCCCATATTAGCCCTGGTTCATGTCCCGGTGGCTTCACTTCTGACCCAGCTCCCTGCTAATGGCCTAGGAAATGCAGTGGAAGATGGCCCTAGTGCTTGGCCTAGACCTGGCTGTTGTGGCCATCTGGGGAGTGAACCAGCAGATGGAAGACCTCTCTCTCTCCTCTCCCTCTCCTCTCTCTCCTCTCTCTGTGTAACTCTGACTTTCAAATAAATAAATCTTTAAAAAAAAAAAAAGACTTCTGGATGATATTACAACTACCATCACATATCATAGAGCTTCTGTGTAGAGTGGGTAATGAGAAACATGGGGCTCGATCATGAAGGACATAAAGATGCCACATTAGAAATGCTAAGCCTTCGTTCTTTAGGTATTAGAAAGCTACTAGGGTCCAGCGCCGTGGCTCACTTGGTTAATCCTCCACCTGCGGCACCGGCATCCCATATTGGTGCCGGGTTCTAGTCCTGGTTGCTCCTCTTCCAGTCCAGCTCTCTGCTGTGGCCCGGGAAGGCAGTGGAGGATGGTCCAAGTGCTTCGACGCCTGCACCTGCATGGGAGACCAGGAAGAAGCACCTGGCTCCTGGCTTTGGTTCAGCACAGTGCTGGTTGTAGCTGCCATTTGGGGGGTGAACCAACGGAAGGAAGACCTTTCTCTCTGTCTCTCTCACTATCTAACTCTATATGTCAAAAAAAAAAAAAAAAGAAAGAAAGAAAGAAAGCTACCATAATGAGGTCTGCACTTTATATAAATTATTGAAGCTCTACTGTGGAAGATAAAATTAAAGATAGAAGACCAACAGAAGACAAAAGCCAAAACTACCTATAGAGAAGAGACCATAGAATCAAATCTTCAAGTCCTATGGATTAATTAGACATCAGAGTTTACAGAGGAAAGATAACTTCAGATTTTCATCTTACATCCCAGATTAGTTCATTCTAATACCAATTTATCATCAACTGAAGAGTATCAGGATACCAGCCCTCAAAAGGCCACATTTATATTCTTCAAAGCCATAAAGCTATCAAAAATAGATTAAAGAATGCTTCATTTTAAAGGAATACACATTCTCTCAATCCTAGATTGTGCAAATGTTAAGGAAACTAAAAAGACAAGAACCCAAATATATTGTCACCCAACAGTTTAAATCAAATATGGTCCGAATCAGTACTTGCATAAGATTTCTAAAATCATAGGGGAGCATTTGGCTTAGTGATCAAGATGCTACTTAGATGCTCACATCCCATATCAGCTGCCTTAGTTTTGAGTCCTGGCTCCACTTCCAGTTCCAACTTCCTGCTAATGTATTCCCTAGGAGGCAGTAGATGACGGAATAAATAGCTGGGTCTCTAACCCCTACAGAGGAGTCTTCGACTGAGTTCAGGCTTCTGGCTTCAGCCCAGCCCAGGCCTGGCTGCTGCAGCATTTGTGGAAACAAACCAGTAGATGGAAGATCTCTTTTTGTCTATTTCTCCCTCATTTGCTCTGCCTTTCAAACAAGAACTTTTTTAAAGAATATATTAGTTCCAAAGCCTTCTAAGAAAGTTAAAGCTGAATGCCATTGCCTTTTAATGAGAAAGTTGATAAAGACTGAAGTGAGAACAAAGAAGACAAAATATGTTATTTTATTTCTTATGTATCTTATCTTTAAACTAAAAGAGTTCAAGTACAAATGGTAAGCTATCTATATTGTTATATAAAAAAAGAAATCTTAATTTTTTTTAATCTTGCCAGCCATCAAGTGTCAAAAGAAAATATAAAGGCTTTGTCTCTCAACGTGTTTCATATTATCAACTTCATTTACCTTTCTGTTAATGTTTCAGTTGTATTTAGGACCAATAAACAGAATGTGAATCCCCATAATTATATAGGATAGAGCAAATTCATTACTTATTTCTAGGTTTCTTGATATTTGAAACAGAAAAGCATATAGGTTAGCAGAACAAATAGCAAAATGATCAAATACTCATCTATCCTTGAACTCTATTTTTATTCTCTTCTACCAGAGAATAATGTACTTTTTAATCACAAAAGAGAACTCTCAGAACAGAAAATATTACACATTGAAAAGCAGTATTTAAAATATGTCCATCTGTCCTGAATATAAACATATACAGATGACAAGCCCTAAAAAACAAGTATCCTAAGGAAAACTGAGAATAGGATAGAAAAATAAAATGAGGAAATAAGATGCTGAATATTTTTTAAAAGTACCTGATTTGTACAAATTAGCGCCACATAATCCTCATATTAGGGTTGCAGAGGAGAAAACAGTGGTCTTCTAAGAGCTCCAAAACCAGACCACAACCACAAACGTGTCACTGGTAGAGTCACAGGATCACCTCACTCGGTTAATATCTACCAGGCGTGGCTTACGGCCGAACAGAAACTATTACACATCCTGAATAACAACCGAACTGAATACGGCGCTGCTACTCGGTCTTAAGGGTGGCATTTGTAAAATACTTTCATTGGCTGGTGATTCCAACATATTAATTTGTAAATTAAATGGTGAGCTCATAACTCAAACTTTGATGTAACTAGTGGATATACTGGTACTTCAACATTTTTTAAGATTGCTATCTGGTAACTATACTTGAATACAGTGACTAACTTCATAATGATGTAAATTACTACAGCACAAATTATTTTTAAAGAAATTATAATTCAATTCAAACTAGGCTAAGTAAATATTTATGAGGTTCAAATTACCCTGAAAGATATAACCTTTCTTTTTTTAACTTTTCAGCCAACTGCATTTTACCACATATTTTTTCAGGAATAATACTCAAATCACTATGAAAAAAAAATGACAGAAAACTACTATGGAACAGAAAACTATAACATCAAAACAGGCTTCAGAAAATCAAAATATTAGCCAAAATAATTAAGAAGAAATCTAGGTAAAAATGCCTCTATGACCTCAGCAATTTTATATGACTCTCCATGTCAGCCAAAGTGATCTTGCTACTATTTCACATGAAAAACTCATTTCTTGTATCTGAGATGTCCCTAACATTTGACCTATTTAAATTCAACTCATACTTTAAGGTCAACTGGAATCTCATGCTCTATATGAAATTTTTCCTGGCACCTCAGTTCACAGTAATTTCTTTATCTTCTAAATTTTAACAGGAAACAAAAGTGTGAGAAGGAAACAGCAAGTAGTTTTATTCTCTTGGAATGAGGCAGGTCTTCACAACCAAGATCCATAAAAGCCATGCCAAACCACATAAAAATTAAAACATGTGAAGCCCAAAACACATCAAAAACAAAGTTACATCAAGCTAAAAAGCTTCTGCATTGCAAAAGAAACACTCAACATGGTGAAGAGGCATGCAACAGAATGGGAGAAAGTATTTTCAAACTATGCTACTAATAAAGGATTAATACCTAGGACCTAAAAAAGGCTCAAGAAACTCAACAAGAACAAACAAACAATCCAGTTAAGAAGTGGGCAAAGGACATGAACAAGCATTTTTCAAAGGATGAACTACAAATGGCCAAAAGACACATGAAAACATGCTCAGGATCACTAGTCATCAGAGAAATGCAAATCAAAACCACACTGAAGTTTCACCTCATTCCAGTTAGAATGGCTATCCTCCAAAAAGCAAAAAACAATAAATGCTGGCAAGAATGTAGGGGAAAAGGTATCCTAATACACTGTTGGTAGGAATGTAAAGTAGTACAACCATATGGAAGACAGTACGGAGATTCTACAGAAATCTGAAAATAAATCTACCATATGACCTGGCTATCTCGCTCCTGAGAATTTACCCAAATGAAATGAAATCAGCATATTAAAGAGTTATCTGTGCCCCCATGTTTACTGCAGTTCAATTCACAATAGCTGAGACATGGAATCAACTCAGATGTCTATCACTGTTGATTGGATAAAGAAAATGTGATATAAATGCACTATGGAATACTACTCAACCATAAAAAAAATGAAATTCAGTCTTTTGTAACAAAATGATACAAATGTAATCCATTATGCTTAGTCCAAAAGGGAAAAATGTCATGTTTTTTTCCTGATATGTGGTAACTAATATAGAATACAAAAAATCTACAGGTATGAAAGACATATTGTGATTTCATTGTTGTTCTTGGCCCTTGTTTCTACTCCTGTGGAACTGTGGTCTTTCCATTGTTTACTTGTTGAATACTGTGGTCAGAGATGCATTAAGCCTGTGATTATGGAGTGGACTGAAATCATGGTTTTGCAAAACTTGAAGACAAAAAAGGAAGAAAGGAAGGGAGAGGGATTGAGGGAAAGAAATAAGATAGGAGGAATGTACAGCTATCGTCTTAGAATTGTACCTATGAAATACATGAAATCTATTCTCTTATATTAATAATTTTTTTAAGAAAAGACAAAGCACTCTGGAAAAAAAATCACAGCATATGACTGACAAGAGATATACAAAGTAAATATACTGACAATTCACAAATAGAAAAAAAATCCAATGGCTAATCACTGCTGACCAGGAAATAAGAAATAACAATCTGTATTTATCTTCAGTATATTTATTTTTTCTAACAAAAGATTTATTATTTATTTGAAAGTCAGAGTTACAGAAAAAGAGAGATCTTCCACCTGTTGGGTCAATCTCCAGATGGCTCCAAAGCCACAGGATGGGCCAGGCCAAAGCCAGGAGCTTCATCCAGATCTCCCACATGGGTGGCAAGGGCCAAAACACTTGAGACACCTTCCACTGCTTTCCCAAGCCATTGGCAGGGAGCTGGATTCAAAGTGGAGCTGCCAGGACACAAATTGGTGCCCATATGGGATACTGGTGGCAGGTGGCAGCTTAATCCACTATGTCATAACGCAGGCCCCACCTCACAGAATTTAAAAGCTTTGGGAAAGACAGCTGAGGTGCAATGTGAAGAGGGCACAGGGAAAAGAACACGCGCATGCATCCCTGGTGTGCATGTGAACTGATACCCTTCTCCCAGGAAGAGTACTTTGACAGTGCCTACCAAAGTGCAAAACCATTTACCAAGCAGTTTTATTTTTTTGGAATACCTACAGAAGGACTCAGAAGAGTCTACAAGTAGTAAACACATACAAGGATGTAGAGGATACAGCATTTTTTTATAACAAAAATGTGGCACAGTCTAAATGCAATAGGAAGGGAAAGATGAAACAGTTCTCACCAGCCTCAAGGAGGAAACAGTAGTGAGAAGGAAGGCTTTTATATTTTATGTAAATATTTGTGGGGTTCTAAGTTTATCAATAAATACGTGTCCTTCTAAATTCCTTTCAGCTACAAAACAGAGATGGCCTAAGAGACACCACGACCTTTCAAACAAAAAACGTAACCTTCTCTTATCACTATAAATTATTCTTATATATAATGCTTTTACAACTAGAACTTTTTAAAACGCAGTGCAGAAGCAACGTGTACAAACATGGAAGATTTACAACTGAGAAAGATGCTCCTGAAACTCATATTACTCACAGATCACTTTTTCCTATGGAAAATGTCTTAAGAAATATGTTTATTTAAAATTTAATATTGAAAATTTTAAATAAAGTTACTATATTTGCTAATGGAAAACTAAGTACATCAAAACATAAGACTTCAAGGACACTATGGCACGTAATTCAGAAATCTATTCCCACATAAAAGAAAATGCAGACTTACCACTTGTAAATTCACGGAAATGTGTTGTAATTTTTCTGGTACTTGCATTTAAAAGTTTTATCTTGATTCATTCTTTTAAAAATTTCTTCGCATCAAATGGATTTCTCTTCAATAACAGTTCTCCATGAGAACCTATCAATGGTTTAACAAATAATGATCTCTTACAAGGATAAAAATTATAAGCAGCTAAATACTGTAACTGTGAAAATGCAATTACAAACATTTTAAATTCAGAAACCAAAGATGATTCAACTTCACCTGATTCAGGGCTTTCATATTCCACCCATCCTCCCGGAATTTGTATTTCATTACCATTGTGCATGAAAGTGTTTTCTCCCTCTCTCTCTCTCTCAACCACTCAATTTCCATAAAAGCATCATGTGTCCAGCATCTGGGACTCATCAAACTTCCTTGATCACAAGTCACAAAATAATAATAAATTCTGAGATCATCAAGAATACAATGAATACAAGAATACAACGTAGTATCTATCAAGATGTGAGGCTGAACGTATCTGATCAGAATTGATAAACAGAGAATAGAGTTTAAAACAGAAATTTAAAGTGACTTAAGAAAAAAAGTTATCCTACCATAATGAAACCATTAAGAATTAACCAGAAAAGCTTGTTTCTACAGTTCCGGCTTAAAAAAAAAATAGTATCATAAGGAGCTGCAAGTAACAAATATAATTCATTATTTTATTAATTCAATCAACATATTGTAATTGTATATTCTGCTTTGGCACAGGAAAGCAATGAAAAAGAGATAGGCCCTATCTTTAGTGCAGACACAATAGGAGAGATAAGATCGATGCTATGCAAGACAAAGTAAGACAGAGGACAAAAGGGCAGGAATGTATCTCATAAAGCAAGAGTATACATTCATGGAACTTTTTTCAGTTACTCAAATACTTATGTGTGTAGTGGGTTGCATTAGAAAATGTGTTTCTTACAGTTAAGGTGCTATCAGAAAAAGCCTTCTAGAGAGAGAGGGAAGCCTGTGAGTTAGCTAAATGAAGAACGGAGGCTCTTCCAACCAAGGGGCCAGAATCAACAAAGGTATAAAAGCAGGTGGAAAAAAAATCTCAGTAAAATGAAATGACTAGAAAAACCACTGTATATGGCAGAATGAGTAAGACATGCCAACCTTTGACCACAGACTACATTAAAAATATTTTTAATGTTACCAGTATACACAGAACAATATAACTGAAAACATTTAGTATTTTTCCTTGCTACACACAATGTACTAACATTACTATTGTATTTTATTCATTTTGCTTTAATAAAAATATATAATGCTGGTCATAGCCTACTAAACCGATTTCATGATCCACAGGTAGAGAGTGATTCTCAGAAAGAACACTGTTAAGTCACATTAATGAATTTGGACTTCCTGAACACAGTGGAAAACCATGGAAAGATTTTAGATGGTAAAACATCATGATCTAGCTAACCTCTTGAAAACAGCAACAACTTAAAAGCTGGATTACAAGCATGGATAAAGCACTGAGACTGACTACATGCAAGAGGTAAGGCTGATTGTTACCCAGGGGAAAAATGATGAGAACAAGTGGTAAGCGTCCCTAATGCTAATTTACAAGGGGAAGGGGTGTGTGCATATGAGGAAGTGATACTTAAAACAAGAGGCACACTAAAATAGGCAGATCCTAAACCTAACAAGTAAAACTGTTAGGACTTAGTGATCAATTGGAAGCAAAGGACAGATTCTAGGACAGCTTCCAAGTTTTTAGCTTAGGGAATAGGTGAATGGTGGTATCATTCAGGAGACATGAAATAAAGGACAAGTTATGAACTCATTAAGCATACTTCTTACGTAGGAAAAGAAAACTACTACATAATGAGGAAGCAAAGCTACATAAGTGGAATGGTTGCAATAAATGTACTTCCATTACACGTATAAATTTGGGGGTGGGGTAAAAATACCTGTAGTTATATTTTCTCTCAGGGTCAATTTTTCCATGGTCCATGATATCAGAACAAATGAGGGGGCTGGTGCTGCGACTTAGCAGGTAAAGACACTGCCTGAAGTGTTGGCATCCCATATGGGCACCGGCTTGAGTTCCAGCTGCTCCTCTTCCCGTCCAGCTCTCTGCTATGGCCTGGGAAAGCAGAAGATGGCCCAAGTCCTTGGGCCCCTGCACCCAAGTGGGAGAACCAGAAGAAACTCCAGGCTCCTAGCTTTGGATTGGCCCAGCTCTGGCCATTGCAGCCATTTGGGGAATAAACGTGGATGGAAGACTGTCTGTGTCTGCCTGTCTGCCTGTCTGTCTCTCTCTCTCTGCCTCTGCCTCTCTGTAACTCTTTCAAATAAATAAATCCTTTCAAAAAATCAAATATAATTTGTTTCCACCCTAACTTTTTAGGCTAATACAAAGTGGCATCTGGGGCCGGCGCCGTGGTTCACTTGGTTAATCCTCCACCTGCAACAGCAGCATCCCATGTGGGCGCCGGTTCTGGTCCCAGCTTCTCCTCTTCCAGTCCAGCTCTCTGCTGTGGCCCAGGAAGACAGTGGAGGATGGCCCAAGTGCTTGGGCCCCTGTTCCCACATGGGAGACAGGGAGGAAGCACCTGGCTCTTGGCTTCAGACCAGCACAGTTCCGGCCTTAGCAGCCATTTGGGGGGGTGAACCAACGGAAGGAAGACCTTTCTCTCTGTCTCTCTCTCTCACTGTCTATAACTCTACTTGTCAAATAAATTTTAAAAAAAAGTAACCTCTGGTTGCACTTTTGCTTCTCAGGGACAAGATATGGTATGGCAAAACTGAGGAGCTGCTGTCCAAATGGCAAATGAAACAATTCTCCTTCCAGAAAAATTTCAACCTGAATTAAACATGGCACAAGATTTTTAATATATGGCCAAAGTCAATAATATTTTAAAGACGATGACTCTGGGGTGGCTTCCTAATATTTCAGCAAAACAGCAGTTACTGTCGGTAACTCTGCACAGACAAACTGTCCATGAGTCAAATCCCAGTCATCCACTGGCTTACATTTAAAGGGAAAATAACTCACCTCACACTTCAATAGTTATTAGAACTACACTGAAGATTCAACTTCCAAAATAAGATTAACATTTCACAGGTAGATCAACATCACCACCGCTGCGGTAAAAAAGCAATGCTGGGGCAGGGCCGGCATGTGGTGTAGCAAGGTAAGCTTCCACCTGCAGTGCCGGCATCCCATTAGGGTGCCAGTTCAAGACCTGGCTGCTCCACTTCTGATCCAGCTCCCTGTTAATGCTCTTGGGAAAGTGGCAGAAGATGGCCCAAGTGCCTGGGCCCCTATGTCCATGTTGAGACCTGGAAAAATCTCCAGGCTCTTAACTTCAGCCTGGTCCAGCCCTTGCCATTGCTACCATTTGGGGAGTGAACCAGTGGATGGAAGATATCTTTCTCACTAGGCCCAAGATTCCAAATATGTTGTGATAACAAAGAAAATCAAACATAAGATGCCATTAAGCATTTTTAACATTGCTATGTCTGAAATATATACAATAAACAGTTTACTGGATAACACCACAAAATTTTTCCCACAGGGCAAAGAGAAAAATGGCTACTAAATTAGATGAATATGTGAAATGCAAAACTTACTAGTTGTAGCCAAAATATAATTTAGAAAAGAAAGTTATTGCTATATATCTTTAAATAAATTTATAAAGCTTTCTGACTTCTTATTTTATTGTACTTTAAAAATTGGTATAGCATGGCCAGCGCTGCGGGTCACTTGGCTAATCCTCTGCCTGCGGTGCCAGCACCCCAGGTTCTAGTTCCGGTTGGGGCACCAGATTCTGTCCCGGTTGCTCCTCTTCCAGTCCAGCTCTCTGCTGTGGCCCTGGAAGGCAGTGGAGGATGGCCCAAGTGCTTGGGCCCTGCACCCGCATGGGAGACCAGGAGGAAGCACCTGGCTCCTGGCTTTAGATCGGTGCAGCAGCCGTAGCAACCATTTGGGGCGGGGGGTGAACCAACAGAAGGAAGACCTTTCTCTCTGTCTCTCTCACTGTCTAACTCTGCCTGTCCAAAAAAAAAAAAAAATGTGGTATAGCATCACAGTTAAATACTTGCATACTTGCACATAACGCACTAGGCCCTAACAATCTCTAATAATTAGTCAATGAAGTAATTTAATTCTTTAGATACCATGTAGATACTCTGCATATTATCAACAGGGTAGAAAATCAATCTTGAACAGCTGTTAAAAACAGATTTGTGTTCAATTATGATGCAGGCATTTATTTGCTTTCCAAACTTCAGTTTGATAATCTGTAAAATGGGTATAAAAGTATCAACATACAGTTTTGTATTGCTTAATGAGAAACTGCAAGAAACAGCAACTCGAAAATGGTGACACCAAAGGGGAATGAAGGGAGGAAGAGGAAGGGAAACTTGAAAGTGAGTTTTACTTCCAGTTTCAGAAACTCAAGAACTAAATAAATTTTCCAGTTTCCCATCGCTAAAAGTTACAATGCAATTTTCCTTTATCTCACACTAAAGTCTGTAAACTCCTTGTCAGAGGAAAACTTTTATTACTATGTATAGCCCTCGGACTAAGATCATGCCATAAGCATGGAGGAAAGATGCATTTCTACATGTTGCCCTCGGATCTCTTACATAAAAATCATCAAAATAGAGATCTGACCTAAACTAAAGTGACTGAGTTACAGTCTCTTAACCAAGCTTCTTTCACATCACAGCGGAAGGACGATGGACTAAGGAATAAAGCATAGAAGAGAATCAGAACTGAATCTCGGAAACTAATGAAGAAGGTACAAGCAAAGCAGGAAGTGCTGCATCAGTTGGTGACCTCTCCAGGAAGATTTTGTGAAGTTGTGGGTGGACAAAGGATCAAAGCATAGCAGCCTTACACCATCAGTATTTTCAAGAATCTACTCTGTAGAATGAGCCTTTAAATCATCACATTCTATGCGAAACCAAACATAAACAATCTCTCTTCACAAAAACTTGCCCTTAGGTGCAAAGTGAACATGGATGACGAATCAATGTAAACACTGCATCTCTATTAACGTTTCACTATAGTGATACACTTCATCAGGCTCCTAACAAAAAGTGGGAATGACTTGGAAGGTGTCGGGCAATATGATTTAGAAGCCATGAGGTACTGTTTCAGTCAGAATGAAAAGTCTATGTTATAATTTTCATTTAAGGCAGTAGGAATGTAGGAAAAGGGACAAAAAAAATCAAGGTTAAATGTAGGGTACGGACAGGTGACAAAAATCTTTGCTCTGAAAGCAGCAAGAGAAAAAGGAAAAGCCCTAAATAGAGAGGCTGATGAGACTTTCCCTGGGTGTGAATCAGCAGGCTCTTCTAACAAAGAAGATAAACTGGCGTCTTACCTTCTTATATCTACTGTACCATGACAGAAGAGGACAGAAGGGACAGAGACTAAATTGGTTTGGTTTTTTTTTTTTTTTCAGCACCATGCACCAAAGCAGGTATGATTTAAGAATACTAACACTGACGGTCGGCACTGTGGCGTAACAGGCTACACTTCCACCTACGGTGTCGGCATTCCATATGGGCACCAGTTCTAGTCCCAGCTGCTTCTTTTCTGATCCAGCTCTCTGCTCATGGCCTGGGAAAGCAGAAGATGACCCAAGTACTTGGGCCCCTGCACCTGTGTGGGAAATGTGGAAGAAGCTCCTGGCTTGTGGCTTCACATTGGCCCAGCTCTGGCCATTACAGCCATTTGGGAAGTGAAACAGCGGATGGAAGATCTTTCTATCTCTCCCTCTGCCTGTTAACTCAGACTCTCAAATAAATTTTTTTAAAAAACTTAAAAAATATATTAACACTAGATGAAAAGTCTTTCCTCGTGTACTTGCTAGAGCTGAAAATTCCACAGTAAAAAGAAAAAGCCATTCAGTCTATAATTATGGCTTAAAATTAGAAGCTTGGTTGAGATCACCCTTGAGCATTTCAAGTTAGAATTAAAAGAGAATTAATCAGTGATTGGTAAAATACTAATTTTTAACCAACCTGCTCCTTTGTGGAAGGAGCAGCCTACTGGTAAAGTGCACAGATACCTAGTCAGCATCTGAAATGGGGAAGGTACATCTACTTTGAGGAAAAACAGGACAGGGGAAAAGAGGCCCAACAGGCAGAAGACAAACTCTGAAAGTGTCCCATTTTGATCTGGGTAGATCTAAAGAGGGAAACAAGTAAATAAACAAACAATTGTTACACTGAGGCGGTTTTGAGCAGGTAGTTGCTAATAAGCATGGAGCTGCTCCACATGTCTATGAAAACATACTTCTTAAACTAGGCTAATTAACTTACCAGGGATTCTAAACCAACAAGTCACAATAAAAAAGACTGGCGTTTTTCCTTCTACTCTTGTATCTCACCTTAATTTTTTGATTCAAACTACTTCAAACACTTTCAAGTTTAATAATGGGTATATCCACACTGACTATTCTACTAATGCTAACCTGCCTTTTTTTTTTTTTTTTAAGGTATATTTTAGTTTTTTTTGGAAAGGCAGAGTTTCAGACAGAGAGAGGGAGAGAGAGAGAGAGGTTTTCCATCCACTCATTCACTTCCCAGGTGGCCACAATGGCCAGAGCTAGGCCAATCCGAAGCCAGGAGCCAGAAGCTTCTCCCCAAGTCTCCCATATGGGTGCAGAGGCCCAAGCATTCAAATTTTCCACTGCTTTCTCAGGAACACGAGCAGGGAGCTGGATTGGAAGAGTAGCAGATGGGACATGAGGACATGAACTGGTGCCCATACGGGATGCCAAAATCACAGGCAGCAGCCTTACCTGCTACACCACAATGCCAGCCCCTAAACTGCCTTTTAATACCAAGCACGTTTGTAAAAGTTAAATCTGAATCCTAATGTTATACTAAGCCAATATAAAATCTATATCCCTTAATATGAAAATAAAAGTGGATTTAAAGAACAATCTCTTGACAATAAAAACAGCTCTCCGTCTTCCCTGTCATGCCTAGCAGTACTGATTCTGCCATCATATAGCCTACCACGCTGAACAAATCTCACTGACTCATACACAATTAAAATTCCAGAAAACAAAGCTGCGTGGAGATATTACTAGACTTCTCAATTACTTTCTTCACTTCACCATGGCATTATTTTATTCATGTGCTTTTCCACAGGTTCTGAATCAGACACTATGAATTAAATCAGGCAGTGGGCAAAGCAGCAACAATTATATGATTCACTGATAACTTCTTGTCTTAAAACTACCTGTTACGCTGACAATCATATGTATGCATTTTCAGATGCTTAAATTTCTCGAAGTAGGGGCAGACATTTGGCCTGGCAGACACTCACGTCCTATATGGAGTGCTTGCCTCCCGTCCTGGCTGGACTCTCTTCCAGCTTCCTGCTTATGCACACCCTAGGAGGCAGCAGGAAATGCTTCAAGTACTTGAGCCCCTGCCACCCAGGTGGGAGACCTGAATCAAGTTCTAGGCTCCTGGCTTCAGCCTTGCCTGGACCAGCTCAGGCCATTGTGGGCACCTGAAAAGTGAATAAACAGATGAGAAACAGATGAGACCCCCTGTAGTCTCTCTCTCTCAAATTAATAATTTTTAAATTTATTTTATTAAGTAAAGAAGACCAGATAGGTAATGCAACACAGGTCTCATTTTCTTTAAAATGTGTTCTACTTCATTTACTCCAAAAATATTTATTCCTAAAATATGTGAAATTAAACAGAAATCTCAACAATCTGAAGGCATCTAATAAAATTCTACTGTTTTGCATCCAAAATGATTAATTCTGGAATTTATCAGTTCTGGCACTACACCAAAAACAGTTTTGGAATTCTACACTTTTTTAGTTACATTTTACCAACAGTTTGTGAGATAAATGCCTTAAATGTATCCTCAACATGTTAAAGGGTCTTATATTTACAATCATAGCATTTGCCAGGTAAGCACGGAAAACCTAAAATAAGCCTGCCATCGGATCAGCGCGGTGCGCCGGCCGCAGCGCGCCGGCTGCAGCGGCCATTGGAGGGTGAACCAACGGCAAAGGAAGACCTTTCTCTCTGTCTCTCTCTCTCACTGTCCACTCTGCCTGTCAAAAAAAAAAAAAAAAATGTACTGACTCCCTAGTTGTGTAGATGAGAAATCACCATGGTCACAGTCCTGCTCCTGACCCCACAGCTGGAGAGGGCCAGCAACGAGACCAACATGTAATTTGTCTTTCAACATCAAATTTTACTTGGTTCTTTCCAATTTATTTCTCCCTTCATCTCTTCATCAAAAACCATTTTTCAGGGCCAGCACTGTGGCACAGTGGGTAAAGCTGCTGCCTGCAGTACCAGCATCCCATGTGGGTGCCGGTTCGAGTCCTGGCTGCTCCACTTCCGATCCAGCTCTCTGCTATGGCCTGGGAAAGCGGCAGAAGAGGGCCCAAGTCCTTGGGCCCCTGCACCCATGTGGGAGACCTAGAAGCAGCTCCCGGCTTCGGATCGGCACTGTGACGGCCCTTGCAGCCATTTGGGGAGTGAACCAATGAATGGAAGACCTCTTTCTCTCTCCCTCTCCCTCTCCACCCACCCTCCATCCCTCCCTCCCTCCAGCCTCCCTGCCTCTCTCTGTGTAACTCTGCCTTTCAAATAAATAAATCTTTAAAAACTTTTTTTTGCTATTAGGAGCACAACCAAGGCAAAATAGAGTACCTCTCCAAATTTTATCCTTAAAATGCATAGACTCTATTATAGAGTTGGGAGAACTTGATGAGCTATGACACCAAAAGCCTCTTAGCCCAAGAATGACACATACTGAGCAGTCATCAAATGGTAACTATTATAATTACTATGATTTTTACCACAGGAAGGTAGTGATTTTTTTTTTTAAGTGCACATTAGCATGGTCCATCGAGGTCCTATCTGACACATCTTCTTAACTTGCACTTAATTATTAGTCCTCTTCACTTTAGGCTGTAACTTTACACTATAATTCATGGACCCACCCCCACTGACCTTGATCTTTTTTTCCTCTTGCACTTTAATGGACTGCTATATATTGCAATATCTTCACGTAATAATTGTCGGGTCCTCTTGACCCTGGAGATACAGACTCTCTCCGCCGACTCACAAGGGATCTAAAATGTGACCCAAATACAATTTGAGGAAGACCATGATTTAAACGGTCTCTCCAGCTGAAAGCCAGCGACCCACTGTAGTGAATGGTAACAGGTGCAAACTGCTGCCATCCATAAACCCGTTTCTGGAAACCCCTCTTCGATCTGGGGGAGGGGTGGGAGAAGGTCAATAAGGGAACAAACTATTTCTCCTGCTGCTAGTCCCCCCCGCAGCTTCACACCCAGTCTGTGAATGAATGAAACGCTCCTAACACAGAAAACCGGCATCGCGGCGCACCTCTCCCTGCCGCAGGGTGTAAAGAGAAAAACTGTAGTTTGCAGGCGAGAAACTCGGGACGCCAACTGGTTTGTTTTTGTTTCTACTGCCCCAAATCATCAGGGCTAGAGCAGGAGCCCCATCCACCAGCAGTGGGAGGGGCACTTGGCGGGTGGCTGAGGTCCGGCAGGGGATGCTCTGGGAAAGGCCAGGCCCAGGGGGAGGAGGATACCGCGGAGCCCCGGGGTTCCGAGCCCAGGCGGGGGCAGGTGCAGGATCGCGGTTAGGTGAGCACCCCGCGGAAGGCTTTAGGACAGGTGAGGGCGGCCGGACGCCGAGGAGCAGCGGGCCGGCCTGGCTGGGGCTGCGGGGGCGGCCGCTTCGCCCCACGCCCGCACACACTCACCGGGGCCGGCTGGCTCCGCTCTCGCCGCCGCTGCTGCCGCGACCGCCAGCGGCTCTTCGCCCTCCTCCTTTGCCGCCGCCGCCCAAGCCGGGCCGCGCTCCCCTTCCGCTTCCGGGAGCCCGAGCGCCAGGACCGGCCGAGTAGCTGTCCGCATGCCCGCGCGCCCGCGCGCGGAGGGTTTGGCTGCCGCCGTCGGCCTCTCCGCTTCGCGCCCGGGAGCGGCGATGGGAGCCGCCGAGGGCCGAAAGACCAGAAATCGCGCCGTGGCCCCCATGCCGCAAGCCCCACGGGTCCTCCATCACTGGAACGTTCACACCTGGCGCGCCGCGGCGCCCCCGCCCGCCCTGGCTCCGCTTGGGCTGGCCTTCTCCTTGTCCCACATCCCGACCGTGCCCTTGTCCGGAGGGGCCACAGAGGGGCCTTGTGTCAAGAGTGCCTGTGCGGTGCGTCTCCTTCCTTCAGGGCATATGGCCTTTCGACCCGCTTTGCTTCTGCACGCCCAGTGGTACCTTGCTTCAAAACGCTGTCTGTAGCCTCAGCAGCCTCTGGCGACTTGTCAGAGATGTACAATCCCAGGCCTTCTGAATGGGTATCGGCATTTTAGCAAGTTCTCTGTGTGATTCCTACGGGCATACTGTAAAGACTGAAAAGCACCGCACGGTAGAGTGCCGTCTTGCCCATTTGAGACCCTCAATTGGGACACGACATCCATCCAAGATTTTTAATAGTTCTTTTGGCAGCCTAAATCCGTACCCAAACAAGCTTTACTGGTATTTCGGGAGAACTTCAAAAGTTGTCAGCCTTCCCGTCCCTGCAACCTAGGAAAAACACTGACTCAACAATGCAAAGAATCCACCTCCCATCCTGTTTGGGTATCTTCACCAAACACCAGAGATAAACTGAAACCATTCCCACCGCACCCCAGCTGTACATGGTAATGCGTAGCTAGATCTTTCTGTGCCGCCTGCCTCAGGAGGAGGCTGTGAAGGGAAGAAATAATACCTGCTGTGTAAAATCTGTGCTCTTCCTTGTAACAAGGAATCAAAAGCTCTCCACAACTGGATCCCTACCAATCTCCCCAGTCTTAGCCCCTACTAACCTGGTTCATCTCCCCATTCTAGAATGCCCCCTGTTTTTCTCTCGGGTCGTCTTAATCCTACCCTGATTTGAGAGTCATCTGAAATCTTCTCAGCCCAGAGTTCTCACCACTGCATGGTGCATAGCACTCACTGGGGCTTGTTTAGGGTCCTATGTTACCTTGTTTTGCAAGGGGCTTCAAAATGTGTTTCATCCTGGTTTCTGAGCTAACTGCAAAGACCTTGGGACCTTGAACATTAGGTTTGCGATTATCAAAGCAGATCCCCAGATCAGGGGCATCAGCCTCACCTGGGAACTTATGAGTAACTCATGTTCTCCAGTCTCATCCCAAATCTGTATTTAAACATTTTAGAAGTGGAATTCAGCAACCCATATTCTGATAAGTCTTCTTGGTGGGTCTAATGTACACGCAAATCCTAGAATTTCCAAGCTATACTGTTGTATCCTGAAGGAAGCCAACATCAGAAATTGACTATTTCAAGTTTCATTACCTTTCCCCCCATTCTTACATAGCTAAGTTGGAATGCACAATTGCTTTTGGGAGCATTTGACTTCATAATGCATCTGCTGTAGCAGGATTTTTGTAACTTGGTTTGTTTGAAAGGAAAAAATACAGATGAGTCATACTGAAGGAAGAATAAGCATGTAGAATTCCTTCTCCCAAATCCATATACCTAGGTTGAATATTGTTTGGCACTTGCTTCAATAGGGAGTAATTTTTGTCAGATGGTCCCAAGCGCCAAAATGAGAATAGTTCATAGGCACATGTTCACAGGCATGACAGTGGAGAGTATACATGTTTTTCATTCCTTTTTTTGTGAGTTAATGTGTGTTTTAGCCAAATCAGTTCCACAGAGAATTATCTAGGAAGGGCATTGAAAGAGAGATGTAGGAGGGCAAACATTCTCAAAATCATGAGCCTTTTGAGAATGGGCAGTTACAAGTTCTCATAGAAGCCCTGTGTATCCCCTACACTGAAAGTCAAGTTATATAGTTCTGTCATTCATGGTAAATGATTTGCATTGATATACTCAGACACCTGTGTCACAATGAGGGTGTAGAGAAGATACCATATCAGGTCATTTTTTGAAGACTTTTTCTATTTACTGTAAGGATGGAAAGAAGACGCATGTCATGCACTAGTCTATCCTTACAGAATTCTGGTCTACTTCACTGGCCTGCGATGGACTAAAGCATGATTATTAATCAACTTTGTATTTATTTGGGATTTCAGAAGTAGACAAATAGCATTTTCTGCCACTGCCGACGTATCTCCGAACAAAGGCACAATCAAAGCATTTATGTGGATAGACTCAGCCAACTACAGTGCTGCTCTGCTGTGACTACAGAGGACTGGATGTTACTGCAATTTCCAAAAGTCAGTGCAGTCCAGAATTTAATCAGTACTGGCTAATAGCCCTTGGCAGCTTTGGGTGGATGGCGTTCTCCACCTGCCCAGCTGGGTACCATGCCCTAAGCACCCACATTTGATGCACATTCATGATTTCTTGGTTGCTTATAGTCATCCCCCCATCTGTTTGAGTGGCATGGTGCCCATTCCACAACAGTCTAATACTCTAGAAGTTGATCTCAACTTCTTTTGGGTAGCACATTTCTATGAGCATCTGATAAAAACTGTGGATCTTCTTCCCGGCAAAGTGCACACACACACACAAATATATAAACATGTTCATATATATATATACATATAACATATATATATTTCTGTAAAGTTTCCCCAGCTGCCTTCCCTTCCCACACCTCCAGAGGATGGTGATGAAACCATGAACACCAGACTAAGAACTTTCCCTAGAGAGGAAGTGAATTTATTTTATTGTTTTCAAAAATTGAGGAAAATTCTCAGCAACCACTGCCTGCTTAGGAGACAAAACAAAAGCAATGCTAAGTAGCATTAAAAGCAAAGTGCTTTGGGACTGCTAAAGGAGTTACTGCTTTCAACAAGCTGGATCAAGTTTGCTTCATGGAGAAAAGTTCTCGAGTTAGGCACATGAGAATAGGATTTTGATTGGGACATGAGAAGTTCTAGGATAGGAGGGAAGTATGGGCAAGAGCATGAGGGCATGAAAGTGCCAAGATTCCTCTGGCGTGGCTCACATGTACTGTATGTGGAGAGATGGAGAGGGACATAGAAAGAAATGGACAAAGTATGCTAAGCCTCAAAAATCAGGTTTTTCCAATGAGGAGCACTTAAACTTTTATAGAAGGGTAATGACCTGCTGTGACCTGGAGACAACTCCATTAGTGAGAGCAGTGGCATCATCAAAAGGCTGCGTGGAGGGGCACTGTAGAAGGTTCTGTATATCCTTAATTGTAACCTGTTGCTGAAGCTGCATCGCTTCCCCTTTGATTTTTTAAACGCTGCTTGTTGTTTGCTCTAGAAGTGTCTATTAAATCAAGATGAACTTAAGATTCCAACAGTTGGTAATGTCCAGTGGGGAAACGTATCCTGATGAATATTCAGGCAAGTTTGGTAACCAGGACAATGAAAAAGTTAAAACTCATTTGGGATTGAAAGAGTGAAAATCAGCTAGAACTGAAAAGAGAAAGGAATCCCTGCCACTGATCAGGCTAGGAAGACAGATTCAGATGAAGCCAGCTGTGAAGTTAATAGTAAATCTTGTTTCTGTCAAGGTCATGCAGCAGTTGTAAAATGCTGTAATAACCCCTCCCTTGAGTGATTAGTGACTTCTTACCAATCACGCTCCAGAAGCTTGCTATTTTCATTTTTTACTGATATTCCCAATTGCTCAGTCATCTTCACCTCATGAAAGCATCCAGTGCCTAGTTAATTCCCTGTTTCTCCTAATCCCACCTCAAAGCAACAACCAGGGGTGGGCATTCGGCACCCTTGGCACACCTGCACACCATACTAGAGTGCCTGGATGTGAGTCCTAGCTCTACTCCAGATGCCAGCTATCTATTAATGTGCATCCTGGGAGGCAGCAGTGATAGCCCAAGTAGTTGGGTTTCTGTCACCCACATGGGAGATCTGGATCAAGTTCTTGGCTTCCTTCTTCAGCCTGGCTCAGCTCTGGCAGCTTTGCAGACATTTGGGGAATGAAACAGTGGTGGAAGATCTCTTTCTAGATATCTGTCTTTAAAATAAAATTTAAAAATAAAATATATTTTCAAAAATTAAAGCAAGAATCAATCAAAAATTGATGCCTGCTTTCCTTAGAGCCTCATTCACAAAAGATACCTTTCTGTTCCCTCTTGTCCAGGAGTGCCCTCCCCTGCTGCAAGGCAATCAATCTCATTTTGTCAGACTACAGGCTTGTTTCTGGTAGTCTCTCACTTATTAGGTTTTAGCAATCTATGTAATGCTGAAATCCTCCCATTGGCAGGACTCAGTCATGGTTCTCCAGGAAGAGGCTCCCTCTCTGTGTCAATGGCACAGTCAAGTACCTGCCATTCCCAGTAATAAGCTCAGCAGGCTGGTGCCGCGGCTCACTAGGCTAATCCTCCACCTGCTGCGCCGGCACACCGGGTTCTAGTCCCGGTCGGGGTGCCAGATTCTGTCCCGGTTGCCCCTCTTCCAGGCCAGCTCTCTGCTGTGGCCTGGTAGTGCAGTGGAGGATGGCCCAAGTGCTTGGGTCCTGCACATGCATGGGAGACCAGGAGAAGCACCTGGCTCCTGCCTTTGGATCAGCGCGGTCAGCTGGCCGCAGCACGCCAGCCGCGGCGGACATTGGAGGGTGAACCAACAGCAAAAGGAAGACCTTTCTCTCTGTCTCTCTCTTACTGTCCACTCTGCCTGTAAAAAAAAAAAAAAATTCCTGCTTTGGTGAAATGTAAAAAACCTATTTTTCTTAAATAGGGCAATTTTGGTCATGCCAGCTTTTTTGCATAAAGGACAGAAGTTGAGTGAGATTTCCATTAGGAAATTTCATTGTAAAGAAAACAGCAGAAAGAGACAAATGTTGTAGCAATAGATAAAGTGAGATTGAGCTAGGGAAGCAAGCTTAAGTTTGTGATGTGGGAGCTGGCGTTGTGGCATAGCAGGTGAAGTAAAGCTGCCATCTGATCCCCATATGGGTGCCGGTTCGGTCCAGGCTGTTCTATTTCTGATCCAGCTTCCTGCTAGTGTGCCTGGGAAAGCAG